GGATCGGAACGCATGTATACCTGTCAGAAACAATCTTTCGTCAAGGCCTTGTACAAGAAGATAGAACGATACCTTACCGCAGTGGGTGGACTGAGTTAGTTTGGTCAACGAGAACTCGACTAATTTCCTGATGACAGAGTACGTCTGCCCTTGAAGTTCCATTATCAATACCTCTAGCGTATGTACAGAGTGGACGGTGGACGGCGCGAAGCCCCGCACACACCTTCAATTTACATTCGCCACAACTTACATGAAGCCTTGAATGTTTTTTCTTCTAGTTGTTTGACATTCTTCACGATAAAAAACATAAAAATGCCCGCCAGTATATTGGACGGTCATGTTGCATGTTTATTGGCTCATTCATCAGCCTGGCGAATGCCCTTTTGTGCTATTTAGTTCAACCCGTAACCCAAACTACCTTGCTTCGATAACTGCACCCTCTTCCCCTTCCACATGCGCACCCGAATCTAAGACCAACAAGACCTATCAAGTTTCAATCCTCTCAGTCGGCAGTTGGACAGTTTGGTTTATTTCAATAATCGGCAATGACCGTACGCAGTTGAAAAAGAGGTCACAAATTGCCTGTGACGTCATTAAATTCTGCAGACTTCATTAACTTTGCGTTGTTTAAGAGTTCGGATATCAGAGTACCTTAAAATATTTTAAATCCTGGAGGTTGCGGCCGGTTAGTAAGATGCACAAAACTGAATTGTTTTTCGGGCATTAGGTAGACAAGCGCATCGCAGTTCGTCCAACCAGCTCGCCATGACCTACCTGAGAGACGTATTGAGCTGCTTTTGCGCGGTTTCAACACCCCAGTATCCAAACACAGAACCCGATTGGAGGATGGCATTTCGAAAGAAGCTGTGGGACCAGGGGCTGACGACATGTGCGCTAACACTGACAGAGCCTGCCGACTCGCCGAAAAGCGTAATTCGATCGGGGTCTCCGTTGAAGTGTTCAATGTTGTCCTTGACCCACTTTAGCGCGAGACGTTGATCCCACAAGCCCATATTTCCGGGGGCCTGTGGCACAAGAGTAAGGGGGAAAAAATTATCAAGCAAGCATAAAACGAGGAAGCAAATCAGGTTTACAGTTTTTTGAGACAGTAAGCATTGTGCATTGCTTACGGACTCACGCTCGCTGCCTTTGGGTTTTGCTGGCCTTGGCAAGAGTTTGCTAAAAATACTTCCATTAAAAAATGAACGCATTTTAACCGTAGTCTGATGAGATTTTTATGCGTGCATAACATAAAGACTTCATCCAGAGAGGAAGATATTTGATGCAAATCAGCTTTGACACACCTTATCAACTTATCCTTCGTGGAGTCCAAGATTCCCGATGGTTGGCATTCAGTGAGAAGCACTCCCATCTACATATGGTCCCAAAGCCTTTCGTCTGATTGACTGTTCTTCTGCACTACTGAAACTTGCACTACTGAAACTACCGCTCCCTTGCAATTTGCGTATACGGCTAGGCGTAGTACACTAGATGCTGTTGCCCTGGTAATCCATTCTGCTCTATAAGATTTACATAAGGCTTTTGTGCATACGCACGTGCTTTCCATGATTACTACCCC